TGTTACCTGCGAAATCCCGATAGAGGTGTTCGATCATTTTTCATGTTCTTTCCAACGATGTGCTGATTGTCTCTCTACGACTTATACTTTTTGCTGTACAGATAACCTACCTGTGCCGACCTACCGGTGCTCTAAACTAGTACTCTCTTCGGGAGAATATGTAAGACCAAAAACCATAGTTGAGGTTTAAATATAAATTTGATAACTTAAATAGTTTAGCAATAACCCGCATTTTAGTAGTCAAATCTGATGGACAAAACTTTTTTCGAAATCTGATACTTTATTAAAACAATATAATAAAATTAAAATAGATAATCAGGGTAAAACCCATAAATTAATAATTAAAAATATGTTCTAATATGTATGCCATTAATTTACCTAATTTACAGTTTTAAGATGAATTATACAAGTAAATGTATTTAAAAATAAAAATTATTTCTAATAAATTAATTAAAATATTTTAACTAGTTTTAAAATAATGGTAGTAATATCGTATGTATATGGAGCCGGTGTTACCAAACTATGCATCTAGGGGTTAGGTATGTAATTTTTGGTACCTGTGCTGGTGATGTATAATGACAATGATTGTAATAAAAATGCCTTAATATTAAGACCTATTATTTAAGTTTTGCAGTTTGTTTTAAGGGACAATATGCACTAGTTTTAATGTGAAAAGCTATTTTAAAATTATTATATTACTGCATTGTATTTAATTTTTTAAAATATCAATCAAAAGTTGTTAAAAAAAAGTAACCAAGTTGTCAAGGCCCGTTTTGTAATTATATACCTGATTAGTAAATATTTTAAGAATTTTGCATTAGATTTACAGCTTGTTTTAAGTGGAAATATGAAATAGTTTTAATGTCAAGAGGTATTTGAAAAAATAACCAATAATGTTAATATACTTTGCTAAATATCATTCAAGTAAAAATTAAACAAAAATTAAATTTATATTTGTTGAATGTTATTTAAACACACTTTATTAATTTAACATTTATATAAAATAGCACACAATAACTGTCTGAATATTTAATTCAAATATAACATTTATTGACCTGAATAAAACAGCAAAACAGCAAGGTTATTTATAGTCAATCATAAATATATTTATAAGTATATTTATAAATAAATTAAAACTATATATATTTGTAATAGATAAGAAAACATTACTGTGATACTGTATACTGGAAATCTTAAAATAATAATTAGGGTTTTTCATTTGAAATTACATATTTTTAAAACTAGTTCAAAAGTAACCTAATTATTTAAATTTTAGGAATTATAAATGTTTCATAATAAAAGTTTTATTTTAAAAGCTTTGTACATTGGCGTTGACTATTACTATAAACATGTTTTGTTATAATTATTTAATTAAAAATATATAATAATTTATTATTTATAGATTAGTAGTCAGAAATAATTACTTTAAAACAAACAAATTTCAACTAGCTTACGCAATTAGTCGGTATATTACTCTAATGTTTTAAGTGCCAGTCAGTGCGAAAAGTGCAAACTAGTGTTGAAACACTTTTACAAATTAGTGCATTACTCGCAACACTAGTTTTTAGTTTACCATTATAAACTTTAGAGATTTCGATATTACTAATTGGGAAACTAAAAACTAGTGTTGTGAGTAATGCATTAATTTGTTAAAATGTTTCAACCTTAGTTAATGTCTTAATGTTTATCTTATTGAAATAATATTTACAGATGCTACTAATACTATCAAATTACTATCACATTTCATGTTCACTGTTAACAGTACATTATAAGTATACAGTGTAATACAATTTTGAAATATTAATTAGTGCTTTTAATTAATATTATTTAATTTTTAAAATAGTTTAAAAGTAGTCATATTTGAATTATAAAAATTCGATATTTTTTATAATAAAAGTTTTATTTTATCGACTTTGTACCCTGGCGCCATTAAAACACACAAATCTGTTTTCTTATGATTATTTAATTAATAAATTAATAATAAATTATTATTGATAGATTAGTCGCCAATGATAATTATTTTAAAATAAACAAATTACAGCTAGCATTACACAATTAATCGGAATATTACTTTAATGTCTTATCTTGCTGAAATAATATTTGCAGATGCCACTAATACACATACATTAGTATTAAATTTCAAGTTCACTGGTAATCAATAATTAATTTAATTGTAAAATAAAAATGTGATAAGCTTGTTTGGTAAGTAATTAATATAAACAGATTATAACTTTCCAATAATTATTGGGTAATAATTATAAAACACATTAAAAATATATAAATACAAGTACTATAGATAATACGCTTAATATTTTTGCAATTTTATATTAATATTGTCAGTCTTTAAGTAATTATTATTTATATAATAATTAATAGTAATTATGTCGAAAATGAGTGGTGATGAACTGGCTGTCTTGAGAAAGACCTGGGACATTTATATTACTGATATGGCTACTAATGGGTGCGATGCATTTATTAGGTTGGTAATTGTAATTATGTATTTATTAATATAATTGAAAATAAAACTTTATTTTAAATACTTATTCGTGAAATTATATAAAACTACTTGAGTTAATAATATTATGGTCATCTGGGACACAAATTTTTTATTTTTAAATATTTATGTTTAGCCACCAATAAAACAATTTTTCACTTTCATCAATGATTTACATGAAATAGTTTTATGAAAACTGTAATAAAAAGGGTATTACTTGTTTAACTTATAATTAAATTTAATAATTTTAAAATTCGCTAGTTACAATGATATTATTGACAAGTGTTTTTATTGTCATGTGATTATGAAATGTAGATTTGTATTAAATAAATATATTCATTAATTTTTTTACCATATTAATATAGTTTAATTAATAAATTAAGAATACAGTGTTGAATTAAAATATTAGGACTAATTAGGATTCCCAAAAAACATAATAGACTTTTTGTTGGATAAATTTGAATTACGAAAATTAACTTTATTACAGTTTAATACAATTTAAAGAATAAATTAATTATAATATTTATATAGGCATACAAAAACCTTTAGAAATATTAACAATTTACTAACATTTATAAAACAATTAAATATTATTATATTTCAGTTTTACACATATTTCACATACTTATTTCAATAACATTTTTAATGAATAAAACTAAAATAGTTGTATAGTTAAAAATATTGTCTATTAAAATCAAATAATAAATAATATATTTTTACTAACTTACCAAGGTTATTCGACGAGAACCCCACATTCCGGGCGTGGTTCCCGAAAATGGTGGGCGAACTCCGGGATAACCCGGCGGTCATACGGAACGCCGAAAGTGACTTCTTATTCATATCGGGGCTCATAGACAACTATATCGAACAGGATAAGGGTGAGGCAAGAAAGAACCTTGCTAAATGGTCAGGGTGCCACCATAAGAATAATGTGACGGCTGAAATGTTGGGCAAATTTCGGGATGTGCTCCTGGATGAATTGAAAATAAAATTGGATCCCGAAGTTATGGATGAGGCAACTAATAGCACCTGGGCTAAGTTCTTTGAGACTGTTATGGCGTCTATTTATCATTAATGTAGTAGATTTCATACTAGCACATTTACGTGGTGTTATACAAAAATATAATTATAAATATTGTGAATGTTTCAAAATAAAAATTAAATTAAACTTAAATGTTATAGTGTTTGGTGTTTATTTGCACTTATAAACTTATTTTTAAAATGTGAATTAAATTGTTTGTATTAAATACTAAAAATTTATCCAGACTCAAAATATTTAAATATAAATTATGTAGTTTATTAAATTAAGTTAATAAATGTGCTATTTATAAAATTTATCACAAAAAATGATAAGCTATTAACTACTGTAAATTTTTATTACAATATTTGTTTTAATATTAATAAAATGTTTGAGTTGTTAACATCACACATTATTTTATTTGTAATAAAAATAATGTTTAACTAAAACAAATACACTATTGTCAATTTTAAACAAAATATTAGAAATAATTCAATTTTTATTTTAACATTTTAATATGATTATTTAATTAATTAAGTACGATAATAATAGCTAGCATAAAAGTTTACCAACGAGTAAATTGTTAGTACTGTTAATACAAAAATATAAATATTAATACTTTATTTGCTCGCCCAATTCATAATGAAAATAAATAAATTGTACAATGGAATATAAATTTTATTAAATAATTACAGTTATTATGATATTATATAATTATAATATTAGAATTACATATAATTAAAATAATACAGTTTTAACAAAAATACAAAACTTAATTAAAGTATGATTTATAAGAAAGTTTTAAATTAAAGCTAACCTATAATAATCTAACATATAAATATCTGACTTGCAAGATGCAATTATTATCTCAGACATGATAAAATTTTAAAATTACCTTAAAATCTAAAATACAGTACCCGTGAGACGTGTTGTCAATACACGAATACTGAATGGATTGATTTAATGATTGGATTTTTGGACGGGTAGGTTAGGGTAGGTTTGGAAAAGGGGTATTCTATCAGATTACAGTTAGAAATTGTACCCAGAACCACTGAACTAGCTGTTCTACCGGCTGAACTAGTATAGTTTAACTAATAAATTAAATATAACGCGGTGAATTAAAATATGAGCACATTAGTAATCCATATTAGTCGTTATGGATTTTTGGAGTTAATAAAATTAAGTTTATTACAGTTTAATACAATTTAAAAATTAATTAATTATAATCATGAGATAATCGTACAATAACCTTTAGAAATATTAACAATTTAGTAATGTTTCTAAAATAAATAAAATTATTACATTACAGTTTTACATAAATATCGCATAATAATTTCATTAACAATTTTAAACGACTAAAACTTACAGTTAATTGGCTGTAAATACAAAAATATAAATAATTTTAATGCCTTGTGTTGGCCCAAAACATAATGAAAATAATTTAATTGTATAATGAAATATAAATTTTATTTTATAATTACAGTTATGATTATATTATAAAAATAAATAAATAACATTGTAAATTGATTTGACTAGGGTCATGTGTTACCAAAATTATAATCAATTAATTTTAGAATAATATTAGAATCTAATATAATTATAATTATACAGTTTTAACAAAAAATACAAAACATAATTTCAATATAAGAACATTTTAATTTATACCTAACCTAGCATAATTTAACATTTAATTAAGCTGTTTAACTGACATAATAAAATTGTGAAATTATCCTAAATTATAAAATAAAATATAAAATTGTATTTTCCCCGTAAATTGTATCACAATTTATAATTTTATATTATTGTTGGTAATATTATTTTATTTTCAAATAAAATCAAATATATTTTATATATTTTTAATAGATATACCCAATATCAAATTTGATGTTCATAGATATTAGTGCGAGTTAGGTACGAGAACTGATAAATTCAAAAATGTGATAAGCTTGTTTATAAACTTGAAAATATGAATTAATTTATTATATTTTCTACTTGTTATTGCGTAATGAATAGACATTTATTATATTACATATAAATAGACGTTTTTAGATTTTAAGTGCAATATTAAATAATTTTATAATATTGCTAAAATATATTTTTCAAAGCTAATTTTAATTAAATATGTCTAAAATGAATGGTGATGAACTGGCTGTCCTACGGAGAACCTGGGACATTTATATTAACGATATGGATACTAATGGGAGCGACGCACTTATAAGGTAAGTAGTTTTAATTTTATTAATAATAATTATTTTTAATAAGACATTGTTCAAAATTATAACCAAAAAATAAAATAAATTTTAAATGTATAAATTAATTTAATTATATAAATAAGAATACAGTTTTTCAATAATACTAAATCATTATAACTTTAAAAGTTCATTTAAAAACATTATAGTATAAATATATTTAAAATAATTATTACAATTAGTAATTTATTTTATAATGAGCAGGCTACTCGACGAAAATCCCACATACAGGGCGTGGTTTCCGAAAATAGTGGGTAAACTCCGGGATAATCCGGAAGTTAAAAGGAGTTCCGAAGTGGACTTCCTATTCATATCGGGACTCATAGACAACTATATCGAGAATGAAAAGAGTGAAGCCAGAAAGAACCTTGCTAAATGGTCAGGGTGCCACCATACAAGTAAGGTTACAAGTGAAATGTTGGGCAAATTTCGAGATATTATCCTGGATGAATTGAAAATAAAATTGGGTCCCGAAATAATGGATGAGCCAGCAAGTAACACCTGGGCTAAGTTCTTTCAGAATATTATGGCGTCAATTTATCATTAATTTTTATTCAAGTTTAGCTTGGACATTTGGATATGCTTAAATAATAGTGAATGTAAACTGTAATCATTACATAAACATACAAAACACAAACTGTAACGTAATTTACAAAGTTTTACTAAAACTTATAACATTAAATATTGAATTTAATTTAATATTAATAAATAACTGTATTTGAATTTTTGGTGTATAATGTAATTATTTAAAATGTAACACATTTAATTATTTTTATAAATATACCTGAGGATTTTTCTTAAAATATAACAGTAATCTAATCCGGCATACACATACTATACAAATGTCGAAGTGGTATTCACTAATTTTAAAACTATTTTGTACAGTTTTATAAGATTTTCTAAACAGTGTAATTTTCATTTGGATTATTAAAGGTTGTTATAAATTTGAATATATTGCATACAAACTGTAAATTTAATTTTTATAAATCCTAAATTATTAATTAGTTTTAATTGTTATAAAATATTGAAAATCTAATTTATAAGTACTATTTGTATTTATTAAATAAAAGTTGATTTTTAAATATATTTTATTAAATGAGAAACGGGACTGTCTTAATTGCCAGCCCGCCAAACCCGCCAAACTTTTGCCAAACTTTCGCCAAAATTTAGCCATACCCGCCAGGGAAAAGAGAGAGAACTGGTTATATATTAAACTATAGCTAAATATTAATTTTTTATTAATTTTATACAAACATATTTACATGTACTATAACTAAATCAGTTAATAATTTAATAATTGTAATTGTAATTACATATAAATGACTCTCTCTCCCATTTAGGACCAAAAAATTGGGAGAGAGAGCTATTTATATGTAATTACAATTATAATTATTAAATTATTAACTGATTTAGTTATAGTACATGTAAATATGTTTGTATAAAATTAATAAAAATTAATATTTAGCTATAGTTTAATTTAGCAGCTCTCTCTCTCTCTCTCTCTCTCTCTTCCCTGGCAGGTATGGCGGCTATGGCGGGTATGGCAATTAAGACAGTGCCCTATATTTAAGGTCTGGCGGGTCAGATGTTGATATAATGGGGGTCTGTCGGGTCAAATATAACTATAGTGGGAGTCTGGCGGTCTGGCTGATCTGACGGGTATAGCAGGTTTGACGGTTATGGCGGGTATGGCGAAAGTTTGGCGAAAGTTTGGCGGGTATGGCAATTAAGACAGTCCCTTTTAGCAAGATATTTTCAAAGTATAAACATAATTACTCAATAATATTGGTGTCAAGTTAAAATTAAATTAGTATTAAATATTAAATATTATTATTTTAATTGTTTCAAACATAATGATTTTAGAAACTGTAAATAATAATTTCATAACTAAAAAATATTAGATGAAAATGTTGTAAACATAATATTGGGTCCTATGTCCAAGTATTTTCAATATTTTTTACAGTACTTATTAAGATAACAAATAAAATTTATATTTTAGCAAGCTATTTTCAAAGTACTGATATAAACATAATTACTCGATAGTATTGGTGTCAAAGTTGAACAACTCCTGTACCAAAACACCGGTGCTATAGATATCTGACTTTATAGAATATTTGCCACTGTGTCTGACTTCCGGTGCCAAATACCTGTCCCCACCGGTAGGTCCACCAGTATTTCCTATACCCGGACCCTTAATATCAGCCAATTTGACAAACCGTCCGTTAGATACCGGTGCGATCAGTATGTTATTAGGTTTTATATTGCAGTGTATTATAGGTGGTGCACAGGAATGTAAGTATTGTAGGCACTCCAATATCTCTAATAGGAGTTCCGATGCCATATAATAGGCCAATGGAGGCAATAGATGTTGGGCATCGACACCGAAATACCCGTGCATTTTAGGCATGAGTTCCGTTAATGACATCAAACACCATTCGGATTGTGTGTATAGCATGAGCACCGGTATGTCGTCACCAATGCTGCTGTACTCGAGCCAATTGGACAGCAATTGTCGCGTGAATTGTGGGTCCAATTGAGTCAATACATTGAAGGCATGTATTTGTTGGTTAACATCGCTTTGATCTGAAAAGTAGTAAAAATAGTGAAAACTATGGAAAATCTAAATAAACATTTTAAATCATTAAAATGTTCTTGTTATAATATTAATAGATTATAATAAAATAATGCTCCAAACGTGTGAGGACCAATTAATTTTATATTTAAAATTAATTAAAGCAAATTTTATATTTAAAATTAATTAAAGCAAATTTTATATTTAAAATTAATTAAAGCAAATTTTATATTTAAAATTAATTAAAGCAAATTTTATTTATTGGTTTTGTTTACAGGTTTAAAATATAATATACGAAAACACAATATTCAAAAATGATTGATTTTGTATTTTTAAAAAAGTAAATAATTCTACTTTATACAAATTATTATTAATTCGTGATAATTATTTTTCTAATTTAGTTTGATTTGTTTTAAACTGTAAACTAAAATAAAAACAAAAAATCTATTCCTTAAAAATCAAATTAAATAATTTATTTAATTATTCAGTTTCCTTACCATTTTATAGTGTAAAAATATTTTACATTATTTAATAATTTACAGTGATCAAAAGGTATCAAAATTTATAAATTAAGTATTATAGTTTAGATTTTTAGTGTACATACCATTTACATCAAACTTTTTAATCGCGTAATAAGTTTCAGTATTACTGTCCAAAACTTTATAGGTCTGCCCAAAAGCACCGGCGCTTAACTGCTCTAATATAGTAAAGTTGTTAACATTAACACCACTATTATTCTCATCGATGGTCGACAACCGCCTGTCCTCCCGGTCCTCGTGATTAACAGCCAGTGTTTGTGCAAAACTTTCGTTAAACTTGTATTTTGTTTGCAGAAAGTTTGCCACAAAATCGGTGTTTAAGTCATACGACTGGCTCTCGTCAATGGTGTCCACAATTTGGTCGAGTATTGCGGTTATGGGTAGTGACCAGAGGTGTCGGTTCTGTAGGACCTCCGCACATGTGGGACGCCTACGAGTCATACCATTCAGTAATTGTATGGTGAGGTTGTTTAGTTCGCTGTACTTCCCGGTTAAGGTGTCGGTGCTGTTGCTGTTATTGTCGGAGAGAAAATTAAATTAAATACAAGATTAGGTTATTAATAAAGGTATTTAAGTATTGATAATGAATATCAGTGTAAACTATAATTATTATTATATTTTATTAAAATAAGTGCATTTAATTATTTAATTAATTTAGTTGGAGAATACACTCTATAATATATTATTTTGAGTTATTAGTTCTGGGAATAATACCAAACTCCAAATTGTAATTTTATAATAAACACATAAAAGTTATTTCTTTAATGAAGGTAATTTTGTTAATTTTGGGACAAGGATGCTTCGTCGTTAAATATTAACGTTAAATGAATAATTTTGTAGTTAGTTATCATTTAATAAATTAATTTTATATTGAAGTCTGTAATTGTAAAATTTATATTATATAGATAATTAATTTATCCATAAATAATAAAAGTGACCGTTGTTATTTCATAACGCTTAAAGAGCAAATGTCTAATGAAAACTGTAATGATTATAATTTTATATTAATATAGTAACATTTTAAAATAATATGAAATACGTGGTGCTGTATCCGAACCTATAATATACTTCATTTTAAAAGTCGATAGATTTTTTAAATATAAATATTTAAAAATAAATATTCAAACTAAACTCTAAATTAATTTTAACAGGTTAAATAAAATTTATATTTGCTAAGCTATGCAGTCATAACATTATTATAAAATTTACTAAATAATAAAGATTTGTCCACAAACCTATTAATATCGAAATTGAACATGTCCTGGATAATAACGCCCATACAGTAGACATCGCTTTTATTGCTATACTTTTGGTTTTGTTTCACTTCAGGCGCCAAATACTTATGCGAACTCTTATTGAACACAACGGACACCGACATAGTCTGCGCCCCACGGGGAACATCCCGGTGCTCCGGACGAGTAAACTTACCCAACTTAACAAACAGGGCACCGGGACGTGGATCGATAAATATATTATCAGTTCGTAGCTTCCGGTGAGTGATAGGTGGGTCCCGGGTGTGCAGGTAGTCGAGCCCTTCCATGATCTCCAGCAACAG